ATAAATAATGTATATGCGTATATTTTACCCATTCTAAAAGAGTTTTCTTTGGTTGGTATAGTGTGTATACGTATCTTTGTTTAGGTTAAGCTTTATGTAGAATTTTAGGGTACCGAAGTATATATATGTACATATGTGCCTGTTTTTGCCTCGCATGTAGGATTATTGTATTATAGATTTAATGGGTTGTATTGATATTGTTGCAAGGGCTTAGTTTGCATCTTATATTATGTTTTAGTAGCACCTTAATGATAATATAGTTTTGAGCTGTGACAAAGGGCATATTTGGAAGTGTTTTTTGGTGAAGAGTTTGCTTCATTTGAGTTGAGCTGTTTGTTGTTTATACTATGTTCTTTTTTGGTGTTATCACACTATATTTTTAAATGGTTTTTTACTGTGTTTTAAACTATAGCATTAAAGGGCTTAATTTTATTATGTGTTATTTTGAGTTCAGCTGTATTAAAAAATTTGTTTTTGTTGTTTGTTGTATGCTTTTTTGTTGAAAAGTTCTAGTGTTAATGTTAGCTATACTATCCTTAAGGGGGTAGGCATTTATGTTAAAGGATATTTTGTTGTAGGTATATTTCTTTGGGAAAGGGTTTTTGTTCTAGTTTTATTATTGTACCTTGTGTTTGTCCGTTGTTTTTGTGAATAAATATTGTTCTGATATATATCCTGTGTATTGCTTCTATGTTTTTTAGCAAACTCAGTTCGGGCTCAGAGAGAGAAACAGAGCCAGGCTGTGTGACGTGTATTTCTCGAATTCCTGGTTAACGGGCCCTATCTGACTACTGTATGGGAAATCCGTGTGCCATAATATACCACACCAATAATATGTGAGAAACATTTAAGGCTCTGATGCGTTGTATTTGTACAATCAAAGCTATATACAGGTTTTTGTTAAGTAAACACATTAATACCATTAAAAAAATGGTGTTGGTAAGTTATGATTTCCATTTTGATATTGTAATTACAAAACAACCGTGATTATATGTGTTTCTTTGTTTGAATTTCGCGCAAAGCTATTCGAGGGCTATCCACGCTTGCCATCCCTAGTTTTTCAGTGATAGATTACAGAAAAGGCAGCTAGTCAACATTGCCCACTGCTAAGTCTTGGGGAATTCGTCTACTACTAATGTACTACTTATACTACTATTTTCCCAACAAATAGTGGGACTGACTGTTACATTTTTACACCCCTACGACTACAAAAGCTCGGTGACAGGGTTCGATCCCGCGTTCTGCAGATTGCAATTCGAGCATCTTAACCACCAGGCCATGCCAGGCTTGTAATCATAACACCTTAACAGGCAAGACATTTCTAACAACCTTAAACATATTGTTACGTCTCTGTGTTCGTTTGTTAATTTTCCGTAGAAATTCTTTCCGAGAAACTTCAGCGATATAAGTCCTTTCTTATATAAAACTAGTTTATTCTTTCTCAATTCAATTTTGCAATACACTTAATTTCCACAGTCACTTTTACTTAAACACACGCTACAATTCACAAGATTCACGCACTTTATTTACGGCTTGACTCGATTATTTGTCTCTATATCTCGCTGTCTGCAATTCTATTGTCGCCGTCACTTTATTTGCTGGCTTATATACTATAAAAGCGCGCGTCTGGCAAACACTCGAGCCTTCAGGAACCTTCGAGATACTCATTACGTGTTACCAGCGTCACGTGACTTCCGCTGTCGTAACAATATTGTTCCAAAACCAATCGTACCGTGGAGACACAAAGAAAGAAGGAATGTATAAAACAGATAATAACCAAACTCTTTGAGCCCATTCAAAAACTTATTCTCACATCTAGTTAAGATATGTTCTAAACCCAAATTCAGACCTTTTCCTTCAAATTAAAAAAAATATATACAGTTTTTGTTTAGAAATTTTTAGTGCCATTACAAAGCGATGTACATTTTGTTTCAAGAACGTAATACAAGGAAAGTTGGTCTTAATTGTTACCGTGCCGTACTTTAGATCTACGGGTTCTGCGTTTGTGCCCCTTTGACAAAAAACAAAACAAAACAAGAAGGAATCCTCAATAGCCGCGGCACTTGAAATTCTTTTAAGCAGCATTAGAGTAAATTAATCTACGAGACCTTGTTTTCCTTTTTATTAGCTATATTTTGTGCGCCAGCAATACCAAGCGTGAGGCGCGCGTATATCTGATTTTATTTTATTACTCATCAGGAACTCTACCAGCCTACCCTCATATTGAAAATCTTTTAGACAGGATTAGAGTAAATTAACTTATGAGACCTTGGGCATGGTTAAATACATCAATCGAAAGGATTTGACTTCCTGAGTTCAAAACTATAATCATATCTCATATCGGTCAAAAGATGACGAAGGTATGAGCTAAAAGTTTGTACTTGAAAAAAAAAAAACTCGTAGCCGTTCTATGAGCAGCTATGCCTTAGCTAAAAATTATGTAGATGTTCAATTTGACTAATTTTTCTTAGAGTTGCATACCTAGCTCCACACTTGGTGAAAGTCCAACAGATCTGGTGAACGTCTACAAGTAAATATGAACTCCCAGTCCATAATGGGCTCTCTTTTTCGAAGCTCTTGTAATTCATTTTAATTGTCTTACCTTAAAGGTTTTGCAGGTTATTTTAAAGAGACTGTACTCCTCTGTCTTTGTTCTCTTGAAAACGAAGGAAGTAATCACAAATTGAGTAAAAATGATCAAAATCTCTGCGAGGATTTTCAATAGCGTTCATTCTCCAAGAAAATTGTTTTAAAACAGGGGAGGTGCAGAAGTCGATTCGAGAAACTTGGCAAAAATGGCAAAGGAGTTACGTCACTTCCTGTTCAAAGCAGTCCATTTTACCCTGGAGATGTGGTTAAGATGTCTACTATCTGAATTTGGTACATTTAATGCATTAAATTTAATAATAATCTTGAATTTTACTTCTTCGTGAAACTATATTCTACATCACGAAGTAAGAAATCTCTTTTAAAATAATTGAATTATGAAATACTTCTTTAATGCAGACTTAAGCACTTATTCTAACCACAGTAGAAATCCGAAGTTAAACGTGTGAGCCAGAAAAGAGCGAGAAGCTTAAACAGCAGCAATATATTTATTGTCCATATTGTAGCTGGATATTTTATTACTGCATATTTTGGTTATAGGAAATAAGCTAAAATGCTTAAAATTTTATTTACAGTTTCTGACTTTTGTTGTGGTACGAGTATTGCTCAAACACAACTATTTGTAATAGCTACTTCAGTAACGATATAAGGATTATTTTATAAACTATTTTTATTTTTTAAAATATGAGAACAAGTTTGACATGAATATGGTTTGCTTTTGGACTACTAAGCTAGCATGTCAAGTTTGGTCTAGATTAGTCAACTTGTTTAGGAGGAGATATGCCCACAGATAGAAAGTGGCTTAATATATCTAGTGCATATGTGAAGAACGCCTTTACCGCGATTTTTATATTCAGTTGGATAAAATAAAGCTCTCCCGGCATTTTGAGGGTTTGGGTGCGTTATAATAGTGACAGTCAAATCCACTATTCGGTTATACAATTACAAGAGTAACCCATAAATTGGCGATAGGTGTTGTTAACTATCTGCCTTCCCTCTAGTCTAGCAGTTCAAATTAGGGACGCCTAGTACAGATACCCCTCGAGTAACTTTGCACGAATATCTGAAAATAATTAAACAAACAATCCAGAAAAACTTCCATGAACATGCAAACATAAAGTGGGGTGAAATTTAAAATGTTCTTTAACAAGCCTTATGTGAGCGTGACGTATTTTCCAAATAAAATTATACCAAGCCTCATATCTTAACTACAACCAACTACGAATAGTCTTATTAATATTATGAATTTCGGGCAAATGAAACAGACTTCAAGAAAATAGTACAAGTGGCTTGTACTTATTAAATTAAGTATCAGATTACTTATTTTTTCAAAATTATGTTTAATGTTTGCACCACGTAAAAGTTCATTTACAACTCATCATTCAATAACTTAACGATTTCTGCTCATAACAATCAGTTTTTATTGTGTTCTTGTATAGTGAACTTGTAAGAAAAAAATATATACATTATAACGTTGCTAACAGAAAATTTGATATTTAGTTTTAAATTCGATTTTGTTTTGATTTCCGTGCTTTTCTACAGTAGAACAATCACTACTTAAAGTGGTAAGCTGGACATAGCCAGAGGTAGTTTGGAAACTTCCAATGGAGTGACATTAAATTTAAAACAAACATTAATGCCCTTCTTATTAATATTTTGATGAACTATTTGGATTATTTAACTCAGTACACGCAGTATTCATAATTAAATGTTATTAAATCAACAATTAGTCCAATATTGTCTGCCGTGTAATATGTTTAGAGTTGATAAAACTATTGATGATGGAGCATTAGCCAAACTTTTCAAATAAATGGAGCATTAAATTTCCTCTTAACCATTGAAGAAGAATATAATTAATTCACCCTAATCTCCAAAGAGCTGATTAAGCTTATAAAAAGTTAAAGCATTCACAGTTCGTGTTGAAATAGAGAAACGGATATTTTTTTGTTTTAGCGCAAAGCTACACAATGGGCTATTTGACCTAAAAACATGGGGAAGGGGATGAGATTAAGATCGTACACGGACTAACTTCCAGTAACAATAAAAAATAATTAGATTGGTAACTTCTTAAATATGGATTCTACCTTTCTTTAACTTAAGTGAATTGAACAATTCAATAAACATGCATTAATGTTCTATTCTGTATTATCTATATTATATTAAATTCCTTAACATCTTTGACTTTTCTGGAAAACTGAATGTTTTATTTAATGCGGGAACTGGGGCTAAATTATATAATATCCATAATCACATAAAATTCTGTAATTAAGAATTAAAGATTTCTTTTTTCGCGCCAAAAGTAAACTTGAAAATATAATCAAAAACCCAGTAAAGAGTTTAAGATATTAAAAATATCTTGTAAATCTTTAAAAAATATCGAAGTGTAGATTTACCTGATTTTCTGTCGAATTGGGAATCTCCCTCATTTCTAGTTCATTTTCAGGCAGGTTTTCGTTTTCCTTGTCATTGTTATTTGATGGTGTTGAGGTATTTGTAACAATGTCAGCCATAATATTTGGGTGGGTAATCTTTTGCTGAAATTTCTGTCAAAATCACGTCGGTTCACTCTCGTTCTAAAAGAATGTATGTAAGAGTTTCCCCTGAAAATGTAGACGGCGCTTTAGAGCTATGCAAAACTTTTCCGTTTTTTGTCAGTAATTTTCTGTTTAAAAACGGCTGATTATTCTATTAATATTTGATATTAGCCAACCTCTGAAATCAAGACAACTGGCTGTTGTTCTGAAAGAATGACAGCGCTTAAGGAAAGTTGGTAACAGTTTATAAGCCGCTTTAGCAGAGAGTACTGTCTCGTTCTGTGATGGTTGTTTGAATTTCACTTAAAATAAATGTCGTATTCACTATGTTATTAATAGTAGTGTATGAAACATTTCCTGTAACGTGTCCAATAAGAAATCAACCAACCGGAAATATAGCTGAACAAATTAACGCTAAAACTTGTTATGTACGAAGTGTGTGTTCAAGACGTCTTTTAACATATGTATGTGTCCGTGTAATTATGTTTATTAATACAATATCAGTGAAATTTTAACAGTAAATTAGACTTATATTATCTTTATTATTAATTTTCATTTTATTTATCAAGTCGTTCAATTATTTGATTTCTTTCCCATATGCTTAATACTTAAGACACTACCTGATGTCCCCCGGTGGGACAGCGGTAAGTCTATGGATTTACAAAGCAAAAATCAAAGGTTTGATTCCTCTCATTGGAAACAACAGATAGCCTAATGTGGCTTTGCTATAAAACACACACTATGTGATTTTTAAACAATTCCAAAATATAGTCCTGAAAGTGAAATACACCTTCCTACCATGTATGAGTATCTGAACTATTCATAAAGAAACTTACATAAATATTGGATCACTGATGTCTAATAAAGCAGAATGGATAAGATTGGTTGAAATCCAGGTCATGACCAAAAAATCACTACGTTAATTATATGTAAAGATGTCGCTGCGGCAGTATTTCCTGTCTGGCTTTCTAAAGGACGGAAAAATAGATGAAGATTACATCTGTGTGGCATTCTGACTGTGACGTCACTCAACATGTGGTTTCGTTCACCAGACTTGTTTTTACTTCCAAGAAGAACGCTTTAACTAAACCGACGCGCCTGTGTATGTATGGGTTATATTGGATCAAAATAGAAAATATCAATACACATCTATGTCTGCAAGCCTTCATTAAACTAGATGTATTTCCGCAAAGTCTCCAAAACTGTTCTGTTTCAAAAGTAAATAAAATTAAAGTATTTTTATTTCTTGCTTTTGAAGCTCATATGTCATGCTGTGTTGTAGCCTACAGAGTGCATAATTGTTCTCGTTATTCTTGGCATGCACACGTTTTACTGACGTCATGACAGTACAAATTACAACATTAACCGTCCCCATGTGACGTAATTTTAGTGTCTACTGAGTGACTGACAGACAACAGTATACTGTATAATGATGCTTGGAGACGAAGTGAATGAGTAATGAAGAAAAACTTTAATATAAGTTTAACATAACAGCAAATGTACAACGTTTCGACAAGGTTTTGTCATCATCACTACTGTATAGTGGTGCGAGTGGTTAAAACAGATGACCCCTCCATGCGGCCCTAGGTCCCCTTTCCGAGAAATAGATAAATCGCAAAAATAATCTAATTTACTATGGATTTTCAGTTCCTCCTAAATGAATTCATTTTTTTAAGGGAATACACTTTATTTGAAATATGTCGATACGGCATAACAGCATGATGTTGCTATGGTTACCATCACACTTTTTAATGACACATGTTTATATATAATGTTCTTTTTTTTCCTTTTGTTGTATAATGAAGAGAGAAATATACACTTTCTATTAATTGTACAGCTACGTGTCTTATTTATCAATTTTTTCAAAAGAGAGCGGGAAGTATTTACCACTCTGTGTTAGCTTGCTCTCGGATAACACTCATAACTAAAACGTGTACGTGTAATGGTACGAGCGGTGATTAACTATTACTTTTATTTCTGTTCAGGATATAACAATTTGATAAAACGACTGCAATAACATCCATAATAGAATAATTAATTGCACATCATATTTCGTGCAAAACAGGGTTTGATTTTATTTATGTTGCATTGACACCAGTAAAGTATATGACGTTTCGAAACTTTAATTATCTTTAGACCTGACACGTAGATTTACACCACCTAAAGTAACACTGAGATCACCCATGCTGTATTATTTCGAGGACAAGAAACACCTAACTTGTATTTATAGGTAAAGTGGAATTGCACGATACTTATAAAACCAATATTAAGTTAATGCAATTTAAAACAAATAGGTTTTAAGTCTTCGCCTGAAATAAAAAATAGTGGTAAATACGTATGCATTTTATAGGATAATGGGAGTATAAAGTTTATAGTGTTCTTATAATGGACAAAGTTTACCTTTTTATATAAAATTACAAAAAAATGGAAACAAAACTTAGCTCGACTCAAAACTATAATTTTGCTATATATTTACGAGTTGGTGAAAGAATCGTGATGAAATATTCTGATGAACTTGGTGTCATTTGTTAGCTCCGAATGTAAACAGTTGACTTTGTATGTTTTTTTACCAACATCTTACTCTGACGATAGAGTTATCGGTAATTACGACATTGTAAGTGATGCCAAGTTCCTTAATGCATCAATACAGAAGTTTCTAATGACAACTTTCGTCTCTGAGTGAGTTTTTGTATTTTCAGAACTTGGCCAGCGACACGGGAAGGAATATTTTCATTGTTGAATACATTTTATTGGTGGTGTTTAATTTTCAATTGTTGTTTCTTCATATTTTCATTGTCGAATATATTTTATTGGTGGGGTTTAATTTTCAATTGTTGTTTCTTCATATTTACTTACTTTCATTTTCATGCACAACCTTGGACATAAGTTTACGTCCTGAACAAGACTTATACTATAGTGGCGGAAAATGAATTTTGTTAACCCACTCTTGACACCAGTTTTTACTTTATTTTAACGTTTGGTTTAAGCTGCTATAATATCATAGCATTGTACGTTGTTAGAGAAAACATGTTCATGAACACGATTTAAATTTTCTCAAAGTGATATATATTGTTTAGTAAAACCTAACTTGCTTCTTAGCGGACAAAACCAGCTTTTTAGAACATGTTGGTCAAAGCAAGCATGTTTTGTCTATTTTAATTTACGTTTCGTAATCATCATAAACTATTAACAATACAGAAACAGGCAATATTATATCAATATTTTATATACCGTAAAACCTAAATATGACAGGCTATGACAAGTTAATTATTTCTTATAACTCAACTTTTCTGTTTCCGCTACAAACAACAACAAAACCCCAGCTACAATGTTTGCCAATGCTATTTCTAACATAACGCAATTGATTGTAGTTTCTACTCGTAACTTCTCTTCTTATTAGTTATTAATCGAAGTTAGAATCACGGTCACATATTTAAGCAAAATGGTCTAATCACTTGGGTAAAAACAGACAAAAAATCCATTCTACATTAGACAGACTATGGTTACTCTATCGACCTGACATTATTAATTAATTTATCTAATGATAAATATCTTTGGCAATTCAGGATGGTTGTCAATATTTCAAAATATTGGATGGTAATAGCAATGAATAAGTCATAGATATAGTAAAACAAAAGCTTATAATAGCACTAAACAAGATAAAACAGCACATTTGAGATCCATAGATTTGAAATGTTTATCGGCTGATAAATATAAGTGTTTCAAATCACCAAAAAATCCAATCTTGCTCTGACGAACATATGTATTTCATATCCTTTGAATACGTTATTTTATATAACTGTATTATTGAAATGCTCAATTCAATCACATTTCTGTGACTTGTCTATTTCTGTATCTTTTTATTGATTACGTAACACCTGACCCATCCACATACTATAAAAAATATGTTTATAATTATATTTCCGTATGTCAACAAAGCATTAGCTGCATGCGTTACTTGCCTAACCTGATAAATAGTCACTGACGTCTAAAGAAAAAATAACATCGCTCTGAGAAATGTATCTAAGATATTAAAATGTAAGTTTTGTATTCAAAATTTTTCGTAACTCCCAAATCTACTTTCAAATTTTCTTTTTTTGTTGTTGTTGTTGTTCTTGTTAAACGCTAAGGATTTAGCAGCTCTACTATTAATGTTCACTGAATTCTAAGTAACAACCAGAAATTATCTAATGTACTTACACAACTTTATTTTTTTCCTTGATAGCATAAAATTTAGTGTGTACTGATTTTTCCAGGGAGACCACTGTATATTTTAGCATCTCAAATACTACAGCTATTTAATAGTTTGAGTTTCTTTGGGACATCATGGTCGAATAATGTGATTTATTACAACAAATTAAATTTAAAGTTGCTTTAAAAATAAGCTGAAAATACAAACAATATTTAAATAGAATGTTAATCACCCTACGGAGAACCTAAAGGAAGTGGTTTAACGATTAACGATAAAGTAAGAAAAAAAGGGGGTGGTATGAGTTAATATACATAAACAGATACGAGATGATCGATAGTGTACAGTTTCATGATACTTTTACTGCCCTCTTGTGAGCTTTTATGCTTCTATACTTCTATCTAAAAAGTAAACATCATATTTGTAGGGTACAACGGTTGTAATTTAATTAAATAGATTAGAAAGTCTTTAGCCTCTTAAAAAGCAGTACAAAGGCATTCGTTATACCAGATTAACTACATGATTTTTACAGCTAATTCTGAGTTGTCCTTTATTGTGACCATCTGTTCTGAAGTTTAAGTAACATGTTACTTAAAGCAATACATGGACATTCACTGTGTTTCATCGTATTATTTTTACAGCGAATTCTGAGTTGTTCTTTATTGTCACTATCTGTTCTGAAGTTTGTAACATGTTCTTAATGCTTAATGTGGAACTTTTTATTCTTGGAACTTACACTCAGCATTTTATAATTTCGAAGTATTTTGTATGGATCATTATGATAATTTTCTGATATATTTGCGTATTTTTACTGATTATCTAATACCACTTTATGTTTTTCACAATGAGAACCTTTAGTTGTGTTATTGTCATTAATATTAATACTAATTTCCGTTGAATTAATTGAATTGCCTGAAAATTATCCGTAGACAATGTAGCTGTAGATGGCATAAATAAATAAAACTATTAACCTACATTATTCTTTACACAATTATTATTGTTAGCTATTATTTCATGGCCTGAAATGTCCTGGCCGTTAATGTACTCTACTCACGACCTATGGGTTCGAATTCACGTCACCGAACATGTTTGCCCTTTCAACAGTGGGGGCATTATAGTGTAACGGTCAATCCCACTATTCCGTTGGTAAAA